AGCTAAAACCTTACCCTTCCTCCTGTGGTGGTCCTACCTCTCCGAAAGAGAACTACTTCCTGTGTTAAAGTCTTTATAAAGACTTTCGGTTCTGCCTTCTCATTGGTTGTAAACCCAACTACATGACCGCCGCGTCACTGCCTGTCTGTACAGACCTCCAGATCTTCTATGGTTGGTATTGAGATTAAAGGCGTGTGTCTCCAATGCTGGCTGTATCCCTGAACACACAGAAATCTACCTAGCTCTGCCTACCAAGTGCTGGGATTAAAGGCGTGCATCACCACCGCCCAGTTTTCCTATGGCTTGCTAATAGCTCTGACCCCTGGGCAACTTTATTTATTAACATACAAATAACATTTTAGTACAAAATAAAATATCACCATAAGTCATTATGCCTGAAATTCAAGAATTTACTGGCACCTACATGAGAAATAGCCCCAGATAAATATTGGAACTTGTTGGAAAGAAGACCTTCAAATTCAAACTATCCCAATAAATTTCTTTTTTTCTATCTATCTATCTATCTATCTATCTATCTATCTATCTATCTATCTATCATACAGGGTCTCTCTACATAGCCAGGCTAGCCTTGAACTCACAGATCCACCTGCCTCTGCCTCTTAAGTGCTCTGGTTAAAGGCATGTAGCACTATGCCTTGCTCCAGTGAATCTCTTACAGAACAATGATTTAGTAACATTTTCTTTTTAAAATAGTTTTTTGCTTATGAATTATGACACTATTTCTTAAACTGAAGACTATGGTCATGATCTGGGGTTGTGAATTTTCTACAGTAACTTTTACTTGGAGTGTTTTTATTTTATATTAAATTAATACTAATATCCTAAATGATTTGAACAGATTGTTTTATAAAAAAAATGCTGCTATGTAGGTTCAGTTCACAAAGTTGGATTTGTATTTATGATTATGTTAGTACCAAATAGTTTGATTTTGTTGTGGATTGCTGACATATCAGAAGTGTACTATTCATGTGTTAGACATTTTGTAACACACAATCACCTCAGGGAACAAAGGAGTAAAAATTGATTTAGGCTCCTGGTTTCAGATGTTTCAGCCCATGATCACCTGACTGTTTCTGCACCGTGGGGAGGCAGAACATCATGGCATAAGGATGTAGAAGAGCAAAATGACGCATCTCATAGAAGCCAGGATACAGAGAGAGTATATGCCTAAGACAACAGGCTTTTTCTCTTCTCCTCTTCTATTTTATCCAGACTTCCAGGTATAGGATAGCATCATTCATATTTAGGGCAGGTACTTCCTCTGTACTTTATAATTTTGTAAAAATCTGAACAGATACACAACATCAGGTCCAAAGATATAGCTCAATGGTAGAGCACTTACCTAGAATGTGTTTAATGCTCAACACTGTTTAAAAAATCTAACCATCATAAAAATCATTTAAAAATTCATTCACATCAAATTATTGTTAAAATAAGATATAATGTGCTATGGAACAGTTTAAAGCAGTTCAGATTAATATAAGTGGTGAAAAAATACAAAGTACAAACACATCAAACTTGAAAGAACTTGGCATCAAACCCATATTTATATTGTCATGTTATAAAAATTCAAATGTCACATAAATTACCAAATTTCTAAATTGAGTCCTAAGTGAGGATCAGGAAATAACTTTGAAAGTACATCCATTATTTACGTGTGAAAAATGCTTATTTTGTATATGGACCTTTAATAGTAAATAGAAATTTCATTTCCTTAATTTTCCTTACTCTCCAATAAGCCTCTTTTGAAATTTTTATAGACATTAACACACTTTTTTTTATTTTTCTTACATATTTGTTTTTATCTTTCATAACATATGTATTAGATGAAAAGGATGGTGGTGGTTGTGTGTGTGTACTGTGTGTGTGTGTGATAATAGTTTTTATAAAGTCTCAGTGAAACTGAATAGATGGAAAGCTAAGAACGTCTTAAATGCTTTGTGATATTTAATATGGACAGGGGAACAAGATTATTTTTCCAAGGCTTAAATATAACAGATCAAAATTATTTATATATCAGATGGTGGTACTCAAAATAAGTTACAAATAAAGACTTATGAATAAAAAATTAAGTTGTATAAAGTTATCAATTAATAGGATTATCAAGTACACATAACAAGTATAATCACACCCTTTGTCCATATCATTCATCTTAAATAAGTCACACTGTTTTATTCAGATAAAGTTTGGAAATCTTGAATGATTATTAGAATCCTGTACAACAGATGAACGATGAGTAGTACATGAGACTTTGTCTAGTTTCTCTTTACTTACTCATTAAAGAGTTACTTTCCACGCTAGTTCTTTTTCTGTTGGGATTTTCTTCCTGTATTTCATTCTTCCTTTTCTAGAAGGTCGGTTTGCATTGGAATTGTACCCCCTGCTTCAGGTTTCATTACTGAACCTGGCAGTTCTCAGATTTTATGTGCTAAATGCCCAGATGACTGTCATATTGAGGTTTCCTCATGTCGTGTTTAAAGCTCTGAGATTTTTTTACTCTGTCTCCCTGTGATTTAGAAGACCTCCCTGTGATCTTATATCTTCTTTAAAATGAGTTTCTATTTCCATTAAAGGTTAAATTGATCATTCATTGCCTAGAAACATGACCATCAAGTTATTTCCTATGTAATATTAGTAAATATCCTTTGGAGACAGCAATTCTAGACTTCATGTTTTAGTCAAAGATTTCCAGTATCATGTAGGTTACTCATTAATTAGAAAATCAATTAACTTTGCAAGGCTATATCATAGCAGGTTTCTAGTGTTATTAATATCATATTCCTAGAGTTTTCTTCAGAATAGATAACATTTGGTTTAGAGGATAGGATATTGAAACATTCAGTGTGACAGGCTGAGAATATGCAATGGACACACTGGCTGTTCACTGTTGATTTTTGTGTACAATTGCACTCATAAGTTTAACTCTTACATGTATTATACAAATGGAACTTACCTTTCACATTCTTTTTAAAGTTGATCTATTTGCCTAATGTCAAAATTTTGTTCAGCTCTTCTAATAGTTTACTAGATAGTCTTCCAGGTAAACTCCAGAAAATATTTGATGCAGTAACATGTTCTGGAAAGAGATTATCTGCGAATTTATTGTCTTTTTAATAGTGTCTAGAAGAGCACAATGAATCCAAGTTGGAAGAGTAATTACAGTGTTAATAAATGACTCATTACCCTTCACATTACATATGTAGTAGTCCTTATGGCGCTAGCCATGGAAGAGTTCTCAGAGCTAACCAGAAAGCCCATTATGAAGATGAATAGAATAATGGAACTAAAGGAAGTCCAGAAGCATTGGCACGTGTCTGTGGTTCCAGCAGGCCTACAGTAAGATGGGAGGTAGGGAAAAGAGAAAGCCCCCACCGGGCAACTAGCCTGAAGTATGCAGCACTGTGGAAGGTGAGAGAAGCTCTACCTTAAACAAGGTGGAAAGAGTGGACCAATACCCAGGGCTGTCCCCAATCTCCATAGTCACACTCTGGCAATGTCAGCCCTCACACACAAACATGCACTCTCACATTGTACATGTACACACACACACACACACACACACACACACACACACACACAAAGGGAAGAATGAAGTGCCTCTCTGACCTTAACAGTTTTCCCCTACTACATAAATGCGAAGCATCTGAACAAAGTAATTTATACTCTCATGTAGACACAACTACTACTTCTCCATGAACTCTGAAATTGATGTTCATTATGTACCTGATTTACCTTTGAAGTGACTTGTATTTCAGTTAATAAACTGCTCAGCGGGAAGATACTAATTTTGTAACTGAACAAGAATGGTTTGCATCACAGTTTTGCCACTTAATACTTATTAACTGTTGGACTTTGACAATTATAAAGCGAGTAGGTTCAGCCTCATGCATGCATCTATAAAGACAAAATTAAACATTTATAGAACAGAGGTTTATAATTTATATTGTATTTTGTATATAATATGTAAAACACTTAGAACTATCTCTCAATAGACAATTTTTAAATTACCTTGTAGAATGGTTCCATTTTCTTTTTTTTTTTCCTTTTTTTTTCGTTTTTCGAGACAGGATTTCTCTGTGTAGCTTTGTGCCTTTCCTGGGACTCGCTTGGTAGCCCAGGCTGGCCTCGAACTCACAGAGATCCACCTGGCTCTGCCTCCCGAGTGCTGGGATTAAAGGCGTGCGCCACCACTGCCCAGCATGGTTCCATTTTCAAAGTAGATACCTAGTCATGGTTTTAGAAGTATTAATTACCAGGACATTCCTCTCTCATTTTGAGTATGTGTGCATTATGGTTAATAAAAATATCCGAAAATAAGGTTCAGTTTTCTACTACTGAAAAAAATCTTAGTTTCTTCTATGTAGAACAGAAATATCTACTTGCTTGTATTGCTGTATTCAGAATGACAAATAGTGCAGTTGATCTCTTAGAAATAGTGATTAGAATGGTGGGTACCAAAAGCAGAGGGCAGGGAAGAAGGAAGAGTGTCAGGGAAAGCTGGGAAAGGTTGGATAATGGATACTATATGTCAGATATGAAAAGGAAGCTCTGAAATACTGTAACACAGTATGATGACCATAAATGACAATAATGTACCACCATTACTAATGCTGGAAGAAAAGATTTTACAAGCTTTCATAATTTAAAAATGATAAACCTGATTTAAATATTTTTCATCATATTGCTCCCATTATTATCTACAGCTTTTATACTTTTGTGTATTGGTCAAAAAATTTAAAACTAGACACCATGTAAATTCATGCCTATAATAGACTCTTAGTAGTGATTGTCATTATTATTGTAAATGATACATTATTTTTGTCCTATGTTCTATTTTTAATAAGGAAATACCACTGCAGTACATAGGTTTTCCTATCATTTTTATAAATATAACTTAATGTTAGTACAATATGTGTAAGGAAAATGTACTGATCAAATGTAAAATTCAGATATTTTAATTATAATTTTCTTTCTTTCAGAATTACTTACTGTCATCTACCTTTCCAGAGTAAATGGCTCTATGTTGGAACAGAAAGAGGAAATACACATATTGTAAACATTGAGTCTTTCATTCTTTCTGGATATGTCATCATGTGGAACAAGGCAATTGAACTGTAAGTTTGAACTTGGCTGTCTCTTTATTTGATTAAAATATTGCATATATTATGTAGCCTTAGTTTATAATTAGTTGATAACTATTGCTAATGTGTAATTAACTTAATGAAATTGAACTAAAATAAAACCACAGAGAATTTCAAAATAAATTTAGATGTAATAATGTACTTTTATACACTACACATACTGTGAATAATAAAAGCTTACATATATCAACAATGATAATAAAATATAATAACACTACAGTTTATTCATGTAAATCATCTCATGTTATTATAATTAACATTAGCATAACCATAGTGAAAATGGATTGTTGTATATGAAAATAATTGTAAGCAATAGGCATAATTATTAATGATAATAATTTAACTCTTGCCTTGTTAGAATATAGTTCTGAGATCAAAGAGATGCAGTTAACTCAATCTTCATGTTTTGACAATACAGCTTGAACTTTGTTTTGTTTCATTGTTTTATGTGTATGGGTGTTTTGCCTGCATGTGTGTAAGTGAACATTATGCATGCAGTGCCTGTGGAGGCCAGAAGAGAGAGCGAGATCCCCTGGAACTGGAGTTACATATGGTTGTGAGATGCCATGTTGGGGCTAGATAACAAACCCAGGTCCTTGAGAAGAGCAGTCCGGGCTCTTAACCACTGAGCCATCTCTCCAGCACTACTGGTATAGCTCTGGCATTAATATTTAATCTTCTGCACATGTAAAGTGTGAGCTATTTTAAACCTAAAATTTTATGGAGTTCAAGTATCTATTTGCATAGTGCACATATAAACATATTTTTTGGTTTGTGTTTTAATAAGAAAACAATTTTATTTGTTGCTAGTTTTATACATATCAAGTCCTTAGTAAGATATGTTTGACTTGATTCTGACTCATTTTCCTATGTATTCTGTTATTCTCTGAAGTTCTAATTAAAACAGTTTTAATGAACTTAAATCTTTTTTGAAAACAAGTTATTTTTCTAATCTCAGTGATTTTAATTATACTAGTATTTCCAAAGTGTATTCCATAGAAATTAATTCCACTTGATAAATAAAAATTTAAATATCAATAACTCCCAATCTCCTGAATTGTCTTTTAATCACTCTCCACTTGTTAATATACATTAGAAATATATATCTCAGAACTTTGTCTCTTTTCTGAAAGTTACGTTTTACTAGTGACACTTTCTTGGGTTTTGAAAGCTAATGTTAGAGAAATAGACAGAAAATATGCCAACATGTTGATAGTCATTATCTTTAAGTAGCAAAGCGGCATAAAAATTTCCCATTAACTTTTGATATATTAATATAAAAACAATCTCTTTTATACTCTAAAATTTCATTACAAATAAATTTAATGCTGGATTATCTCCTGAACACATTTATTATACAGTAAGACTCTAGGTGGAAGAGTCTAGCATATAGTCTGACCTGTATTTCCAAAATATATTCTTTTAATATGATCTTATGACTAAAAATGGAGCACATCAGTAATTTTGGAAACAATTGAATATTTGAAGGCATTTGCATATAGACTTACTATGTGAATTTGTATAGGTAATATACTTATGTTTAATTTAGAGTTTCCAAATGTTTTAAGTATAGATTTTTTTTATGAAACATCTTATTGTTTTCACTAGTTTATCATGCAATACACTTTAAATTGTTGGTTCAATCAATCTCAACAGATGACAGTTTTGGTTTGTTGACTATTATTATTTAATAAAGAATTCAGGACATTATTATTTATCAGGAGCATTTACCTTTCTAGAGCAACTACAATTATATGTAAGTATATATTACATATGAATAGAACTAAAAAAAGCTATATAAACTATTCTTTGTAGCCTTGTTTAATTTCTTTTCTTTGAGAATATACTCTAGAATATAAATAGTAATTCTGATTTTCAAATACAACAATATCAATACATACTATTGAATATGACCTATCTTTTGCCATTAAGTGTGTGTGTGTGTGTATATATATATATATATATATATATATATATATATATATATATATATATGTTATTATTCATTATGTGTATATATGGTTATTCAGTAAGGTCAATGGTACTATATCTATTTTTAGATGAGAAAATACATCTGTGAATTGGGTGAATGAATCCATTCACAAAATTTCTCAATATCTAATCTATGTATTCCTTTGAGCCACTTTCAGGAGTCATTATAAGAGAAGCCTAGAATTAGTTATTTATTACTTTCAAAATAGTTTCTAGGATTTAAATAGTTTTAACTGTTTTTGTGAAGGCTCTTAGTGGATTTTATGTGTCCTTAAGAAATAAAGTAGAACTGTGCCAACTCAGTCACAATTGGATTACCCTTCCTGTATGCAGTTCCTTTGCTTTCTTGCCCTCTACCACAATTGGATCATGAAAAGGGTTGTAGAAAATGGAGAAACAATTTTTTGGTTATGTGAGACCATGTCATGTTTAACTATGACATAATCATATTCAATAATCATGTTAAATTAGATTTATAAAGAAACTATGCCAGATAATCAGGGTAGAATAAATTTAAGGTCAGATTGACAAGGTTCTTTTTGTTTTGTTTTTTTTCAAGACAGGGTTTCTCTGTGTAGCTTTGGTGCCTGTCCTGGATCTCGCTCTGTAGACCAGGCTGGTCTCGAACTCACAGTGATCTGCCTGTCTCTGCCTCCCGAGTGCTGGGGTTAAAGGAGCGCACCACCACCGCCCAGCTTGACAAGGTTCTTTTAACTTTTAATTGTGCTGTTATATGTGTAATTATTTATTATTGGTTGCGCTGGATAACCAGATAAACTAGACATCATCAAAGAACTAGATTCCCCCTGGTTGTCAGTTTTCTGTAGGATAGCAATTACTAGTTAATTACGAAAACATTTCTTTTTAAACCCAGGATGCCACTGTACTTTGCTTTAGGGATAAAATCATAGGAAACTTCATGTCAAAGGAAATCTTTAATTAGGTAAGCACTTTAAAATTTGGTTGAAATAGGTTTACTACATAAGGCTGGAACATTTCTCTGTATTAATAAACCCATTAAAAATATCAAGGACTCATATTTCACAGAAAGGTCATTTAAAAAAAATTTTAAAGTACCATTTTTAAATGTAGAACTTGATTTTCATACCTGATTAAAGAAAACCTCCTTTACTAAATTTAATAGGAAGAAGAAAGTAGTTCATAAAGAAAGCTAAAATTTTATGTGAATATGAAGAGAACATGGGTGTATTCCAGCTTAATTTTCATTTCTTTGTCTTTCTCTGGTGATTAGTTTTAAATTATTGTTATTAATTTAACAGATCTACCAAGACTCACCCGGGCCCAGTTGTTCACTTAAGTGATAGCCCAAGAGATGAAGGAAAAGTAAGTATGCTACATTATTCTTGCTTTTGTTTTCCTTATTTTTAGAAAAAGATATTTTAAACTGCTTCTTAAAATTTAACATCTCAATTGGTTTGTAGCATTCAGTGGCATCTAAAAATAATACTTACTGAAAGTGTGAATGAGCAAGTGAACAAATAAATGGAATACTCTCGCTACTAATGCTCTAAGTTTTTAATTTTCCAAAAACTCACGAATCATGTATCTGTTAATTTGACTTTGGTATTAACAAATTCATGACCAATATCCAGTAACATCAATTAGGTAATTTTGATTTTCTTATAAATACACACTAATATAGAAAGTGTTTATGCATTTCATTGGGATAAATTCCAAGGGATTAGTGAAGCACAGCTCTGAGTGTGTGTGCCTGTGCTGGAGTTTCTAGAGATGGTTAGAAAACGAGGCTCTGACTCACTCAATGGATCAGTGCCCTGATGGCGTCATTGTACAATACCGATATTGGGGGTGGGAAAAGGTAGGAGATGGAGTCTAGGTGGAGAAGCAGCTCACGAGGGTGTGTTCTTAGATCTGTTTCTCCTCTGGACTCATCCTCGATGTGGTTTCTTTGTTTTGTGGCCTTCCCTGACATGAAAAGCTCAGTTCTTCCTCATCCTCAAGACTAATGAGGACTAGACTGTTTGAAACTGCAAATCATAAATCTTTTCTACCTTTAGTTGAGCTCTAGATATTTTGGTTACAGCTATGCAAATGTAGCCAGTACATTATCAGATTATAAGAATAATCCTGATTATTTCATAATTTGCCTTTGATAATGAAACAGTTGATAACTTGAATTTTAAAACCTCATCTCTACAGATGTCTTAAGTGTATAATTCTTACTAAGTATTACACAAAAATTATGAAATTATTTGTTGTAGGTATAGCTTAAGTAAATTATTTATTTTTAAAGGATGGGAATTGTGGTAGTCTAATAAAAATCCAACATGGAAGGCAAGTTCAACTGATGAAGCAATATTTGGTACATCTAACTTGATCCATAAGTAGAATGTAGTGCTAACCAGGCATTATCAGAGTTTGTTTTTGCTGGCGAAAGCTTGTGAGGCCTCACACGTACAAAGAACTGCAGTACAAGTAAAGAATGCTGAGCGTGGGAGAAGTAGTCACCCCAGGCAATAGCACAGCAGCTGGCTGCTAAATACCTAGAGGTCAGTCCTAAAAACATACACATGAGTAACATTAGACAGACGCAACAGCTTGACCATAATATACAAAATTGTACGTAAGTATCAAGGAGTATATTCATATATACAAACACATATATGCATGGAACAACCGTCAGTGAAAAAATAAGGCCATTAATTCAAAATAGAGCAAGGGGATACATGGGAGAGTTTGGAGGGAGAAAAGAGAAGGGGAAAATGATGTAATTATATTATAATCTCAAAAAGTAAAAAATATTTTAAAATAAATTGTCCTAAATACTTAAGAAGCAAATGAGACAAACTTTTTCTGAGATGAATAAAGTTATATTTCATGTACAGGCATAATTTCTACTGGTATGTGGAAGAAACACCCTCATTGTCAGTCAGAAAAATGAAGCTGTGTGATTTTCCCATGAGGCTGGCAAATGTTTACTAGTACTAGACAGTGGAAAAGGCTATGCAGCTATACAGATATAGCTAACACATCATAAAATTATAGAACTATCCCAGTTATTTCATAATTTGGATTAGACATGCAAATATATAAAGACACAGAAAACAGCGTTATAATAAGTGAAGACACGTTTTTAAATCATTTGACTTAGATAATCCTTTTCAGATATCCATACTATTTATGTGAATAAGGAATAATATGTCTATTAACTGAAAGTTAAATAAATGAGTGTTGATACACACACAGATAATGGAAATTCACTAAGGCAAACTTTAAAAAGAAAATTCCAGAGTAGGGAGGCATAAAACTAAGTGAATAATGCATTTGTATTTGTATGTGTATACTACATGCCTAAAAACAGACGCCTGAGTAGATATGTACTGACTAGGAGAGGAAACTAAACATGGTATTAGGGAAAAAGGGAAAAGGTTTTCTTTTTTTGTGTTATCCAAGTTTTTATGAAATAATGCAGTGTGTGGTAACTGCATTGACAATTAAAAAGGATTGTAAAATAAACGAATATTGATGCAGAACACCAATGCCAATGTGTTGCTCTGTAGCGTATTCGTCTATCACCCAGAGTAAATCTTGCCTTCTTATGAACTAGGGTTTTGCTTTTACTATATTCAATTTTGTCAGTCTTTTGATCTTGCTTTTTGTTTAATAAGTCTTTCCTTTCTTGGTTAAAACCCATAGTTCTACTTTTCCTGTCAGTTTTGAGTATTCCTATTTCATAATTTAAATTTAATTTCTGTATAAATTTTATGTTTTTGACATAAGGGTATTACTTTTATTTTGTATATTTAAATAATCCACTTATTGGGTCAAGTTTCCCACTTTTAGCAAGTTCCATTTATGAACATGATTTATTTGCTTTTCTTTCTTTTTATTATTATTATTATTATTATTATTATTTTGGGGTTTTTTTGAGACAGGGTTTCTCTGTGTAGTTTTGGTGCCTGTGCTGGATCTCACTCTGTAGACCAGGTTGGCCTCAAACTCACAGAGATCCACCTGCCTCTGCCTCCTGAGTGCTGGAATTAAAGGGGTGCGCCACCACTGCCTGGCTTGCTTTTCTTCCTTTTATGTTTTATATAACTTTATAATATTTCCTCATAAAAATTGTACATCTCTTTTGTTAGTTAAATTCTATATACTAATTTAGATTTATAACTCAATTTTCATTTAGTATGTGTGGGGGTGGAGCATGCATGTGCCATGGGTGTGTGTGGACATCAGAAGACAGCTTGTGGGGTTGGTCGTCTTCTCTCATATAAGTTCTTGGAATCAAACTTGGCTGCTGGTGCCTTTACCTGCCAAGCCTATATTGTTGTCCCCGACTTAATTTTTGTTAAGTCAGTTTGATAATAGCTGATTATTGTTAGTATATAAAGTACTGTGTTTTCAAAAAAAATGGCAGCATCAATGAATGCTTTGTTTTTAGTATCTGTCTTTAGACTATCTGGTATAAATTATTTATGAAGGTATAACAAATGTGGATGATTTTTATTTCTTCTTTTCCAGCATAGATAGTTATATGTATCTTATGTTTTGTTGGCCAGAACCTAGCACATTATTGAATATAAATTATTTATTCCTGGGTTTACTTTTAGCTAACAAGTTGAGGCCCTAGATTCTGTCTCCACCCCACTCTCAGCCCCTTACACAAAAAGAACAAAAATAGCCGGGCGGTGGTGGCGCACGCCTTTAATCCCAGCACTCGGGAGGCAGAGCCAGGCGGATCTCTGTGAGTTCGAGGCCAGCCTGGGCTACAGCTCGAGATCCAGGAAAGGCGCAAAGCTACACAGAGAAACCCTGTCTCGAAAAACCAAAAAAAAAAAAAAAAAAAAAAAAAGGAACAAAAATAGTCCTATCTATTCCTAGTATTCTGACAATTTTAAATCATAACTTACATTGAATTTTGTTAAATGGGTTTCTACATGTATCGGGTTAAGTATTCACTTTTTAATTTGTTGGAATATGTTGATAGATTTTCTTCTTATTTAAACATTTCTTTTCACATTTCTGAGATAAATTCAATGTGGAAAGGGAAGACTTCTCTTTGAAGTCTTGATGCTGCTATAAGAAAAGAAATAGGGCTGGGACCTGTTTTAGTGCATGAGCTAGCTTTTTGGAACCTAGGGCCTATGCTGGGACACTTTGCTCAGCCTAGGTGAAGGGAAGAGGGGACTGGACCTGCCTCAACTGAATCTACCAGGCTGAGCTGAATCCCCAGGGGAGTCCTTGCCTTGGAGGAGGTAGGAATAGGGGGTGGATTGGGGGAGGGCGGGGGATGGGGTGGGAAGAGGAAGGACAGGGAATCCATGACTGATATGTAAAATTAAATTATAAAATTAAAAAGAGAAATAAAGTAGTGATGTTAGGACTCCTATAGAAACAAGACAATATCATAGTAAAACACAGAACATCTGTGCTCCAAGACACTATTTCTAAGGAATTTGAACATCCTTCTGTCAGACAGAAAAGGATGCTGTTGGATTGGAGAGTTCTATATGGGAAATAATAATGAGTACATCTTTGTGGCTGCTCTAGTGTTGTCTCTCAAACTTGTCCCTGCTTGCTTCACTTCAGGTTTGGCCGGGTTAATGAACTTCTTGCAGCACTACTTCCCTAAAGTTCACTAGCTATATCCAGCACCCCTAGCTCTTCTAATTCTGGATCCACAAGGTATTCTACAGCAGAAAGTACACCTTCCACCTTCTTAAAAACTGCCACAAGGGTCAAATGACATGGCCCTCTAGTGAAGAGACGCTAACTTCCCATGGAGCAACTTTAACCAGTATCAGACAAGAGACAGGGAATGAATTATTCTCCTCCCTTTAACTGGGTTGTTCTGAGTCATGATTTAGAGACAAGGCCACGAGTCCATACCTTCTAGATAATTATTGATGTGTCTCTTCTGACTTTCCCCAGAAATAATGGTTGGCATAATTTTGAGTTACCTTTCTTCCACTTCACTTTCCCTTTAATACTGCAATCCAGAGAGTATATTTTCCCTGAAATATTAGCATAAGAACCTTGCCTCAGGCTTGTTTCTACAGAACTCTGGTTCAGATAATAATAAATCATAACATCTGCAGCCTCTTAAAGTTTGCTGAGTCCTTGACTAGATTGTTGCCCCCTGATGGGATATTTATAGTTGGATTTTCTTCTCTGTAAAATCAAAAAAATTGTTGAAGATACCAAGTGGAGTGACATTAAACTCTGGCATACAATAAAGCCATAATTACTTGCACATTTTCATGTGGTTAATTGGAATTGGGGACTCCTGGAAAGATAAGACAGTGAGAGATCAAGTACTTATGATATGGGTTAATGACAGTTATAATGATGAGGGTGAA